CCGCTGAAGCGTCGACCATTTCTGGCCGGCAACTTTCAGCGTCATTAAGCCGCTGCTTAATGCTTAATTAAGACCAATAGCAGGGGAATACTGGCAGAAGAGAGAGAGGTCTCCATCTCCTCCTTGCAAGCACTCCAGAAGCATCTAGTTGGCCGCTATGAGAAGCAAAATACTTGACTGAGATGAGCCTTGGCCAGATCCAGCAGCACTATTCTTATCTCTGTTTAACCATAGTTTATTGAATCAACAGTGGTTGCACTCACATTACTCTAAACATCATTTACAAACCACACTGGCTGGGAGTGCATAATGCACCAAGGCAGAATTAAGAAGCATTTTGACTTGTCCTGTGAACCAGGTAAGACGTCCTTCATAGCTCCACTGTGGTCATGCTGAAGAAAGCTGTGTGGAGATGTTCTGGCAAAGGAAGAGAGAGAAGAGAAGCAAGTTGTCCTGGTTGTCAGTAGACAGTAGGTGGCACTGAAGCCTCAAACAGCTCAAAGCACATCTCCCAACACTTAATGTAGCAATATTCTCAGGATTTCAGCCCTGTTCCCCAGCCCTCAGTGCACTAGAAGTGGGGATCTTATTTAATGAGTAAATAACAATTAGATAAAGCAGGGAACATTGTAATTGTGTGCTATTGTTAATGTCCTGCGAAGTCTCATGCTTGTACTATCTAATCTGTATATACCATGGCACTAAGGTTAAAGGGCCGTTCTAACAAAGATGCAAAGTTGCAATTCTAAGAAATCAGGGGTTCGGGGATCAACGGTTAATTAGAGAGGTAGCCAACCAAAGATGGCATGGGAATGTTCAAAATAAACATTTTGAGTACCCATTGTTAGTGCGATTCAACAATGGAAGAATTTCTTTGAAGTAGCAAACCCTAATTTGGTACAGAAGAAGTAGAAGGCTGTTTCCCAGGAATTCTAGAAATGCTTTATTAGAATGAAGGAAGCAGGGTTAGACTGGGGACTTCCAAGGTCCTTCCTTATTCTGTGATTCTTGGACCGACAGTCAATTTATCAGGCAGAGAACTTGAGATGTGGAAATGGAGGAGTAATGGGGAAAAAGCTGGTTGCTTGTGCCCCAGTGACTCAATTTCATGGTTTCGAATGCAACTGCTGCTCTATCTTGTCAGGTTTTCTCTCCTTGAGCTGGGGCTGGTTTCTTCCCAACAATTTTTCCTTTGAGCCTTTAAAAGGAAATGCTGGAGGTTGAACCTGACCATGTCTTGGGCGTTGCTAAGCAATGCTTTTTCCTCCAAGACATGCATTTCTACAAGCCCAAGAAACTGTGCTTTATCATTACTCAGCTTACTGGCCTTTCTAACCTCGGGCTGAGTATTCTTCACTGGCACCAGCTAGAGTGAGCAGCCAGGGAGGCCGAGGGATAGAAAGATGGGTCCTGGAAATCCTCTCTCCAGCCATCTGCAGCTTCCCTGGCTTCTTATGCTTCCATTCAGTCTTCAGGGGAGACCTCAGGAGGGAAATGGGGAAGCAGGTGAGAGAAAAAAACCCAGCCAGTTGCTCTTCTCACCATTTCCAACCGTAACACTGGTTCAAAAACACCAACAGAAAGTATTAAAAAGAAATTATCAGCAGATGCTAACTAAGAAAACTTTTGAGATCTTGCAAGGCAGAGTTCTGCGCAGCATTTATGTATCTAGTAAAATCACTGTATTGAGGAACTTACAATTTAAAGTAGAGAAGAGAGGATAAGAAATTAGAGCAAAGTGTGTCAAAACAGCAACAACAAACAAAGTCCATCTTTCCTAATTTTTTCCACACACTTTATATTCAAACAAGGGACCCCAAAACTTCATAG